CCCCAACCCACCAAGCTGGAAAGACAGCACGATGCGCGGTCGCGGAGCTCTCGACGACCGGCTTCATCTCTAGTCTCGGGATTTAGACGGGGCGGAACGCGTCAGTGTAAATGAATCTCATAGTTACCGTAGCTCGACATCCCTCTTCGAAGTATGTAGCTAGGCTGTCAAGCGCGCAACGAGTGAGTATCGTGTAACTCATCATGTCAATCAATCCTATCGCTCGATCTTGCATACCCCCTCTCTCGGGATGCTTACCAGCGCTTGAAGTCGTAGGGTTGTTTCAAGCCTAACAATGGCTTAATCACATCTGTATAGCCGTACTGTAATCCAGGGCATCGATGTGCGGTCCTCTCTTGTTCATTCCATATCCTCGTTCACTCTCATACTCGAGTCTAAATAGCAGAGAACCAGTGCTAAAAGCCAGGTACTCATTCGCAAACACCAGGGAACTACTGCTGCAAGCCAGGTACTCATTCAAGAATACCGGCTGCATACATTCCATTTCAAAACCGTAGCAACCAATCAATAAACATTCCCACCCGAATCTCTATTTCACAGTGCTCTAGAATCACCGCGCAGTACAAGAGACAAGCAAGCACACTGCGCTACGCTACAGCGAGTACCTAGGTGCAAACAAACACTTGGATTACTCACGAGCTACGAGTCTTCTACACACCTCTTTCCCACTCGATAGAAATAAACTACACGTATAAAGTAAATAAGTATGATTATATCATCAAGTCATATCCTTCATTTATCATCAAGTAATGTAGTAAGTGTGTGTGTGTGTGTGTCTGTGTGTGTCATTGCGTGAGTAGGTATGTGGGGAGATGGTAGGTAGTATATCACCACAACACACCTGTGAATAACCAACATGAGTGAAAACCCGGAGGTAAGGGCATCAGAAGCATGCGCTGCGCCTGGATGGCACAAGGGCGGGATGGATGGCGTAACGGGAAGAAAGAGAATGAGAGCTTTTTATATACTTCTGCTTGCTGCCTTGTTTCCTTTCTGCGGGTCAAGTAGAAGGAAGGGAGGGAGGGAGGGAGATATCGGGCAACAATAACAACTTAAATGATTCGCTGGGACTATGTGATAATGGCTGGAATATCTCCTGGAGTGCGGGGTGTTGTCACGATGTCCAGGGACAGATTCCTATCAGTTTGAAGGAGATGAGGGGAAGATTAACGTGGGAACACACATTGCAGGATGAAATCAAAACGAAAGAAAAAGGAAAACTCCAATTTATACAGACATGGTATCTCAAACACAAACAAGCGCGGTGCAGGCAAGGCAAAGAAGAGAGCTTTCAAAATCCATTAAAAACAATTTCCAGAATTTCCTTCCAGTTCACGTGTTGCTGTTGCTGCTGCTGCTGTTGCTGCTGCTGGCGGCAAGTGGCTTTTCCTCCTCGGGCGTGAGTGCGATGACCGGACTTTCGGACTGCGGCGATAGGGAGTTGCTGAGCGGCGGCGTGCCGGCGTCGGTACTCATGCTCCCTCGATCGCGGTTCGTCATTCGAGTCCGGGTGTAGGCGGGGACCGGGGCGAGATATTGGTCGAGCATCTCGGCCAGGATCGTCGAGCGGACTGGCTTGGGAAGGTAATTGTTCATGCCGGCGTCGAGGCACTTCTCCCGGTCCCCCTCAATGGCACTGGCCGTCATCGCGATCACCAGGGCCTCGTTGACGTTCGGATCGGGGTCTTTGCGGATCTCGCGCGTCGCGTTGTAGCCGTCCAGCGTGGGCATCTGTACATCCATGAGGACCACGTGGAAAGGGTTTCCTTCACGGGAGCGTGCCCGAAGGGCTTCCACCGCCTGCTGTCCGTCGCTGTAGGCTTCGCATTGCAAGTGGAGTCCGGTCACAAACTTAACGGCGATCTTCTGATTGATCGGGTTGTCTTCCGCGATGCACACTCGGATCTGATCGCGGGGAACCATACTAAGATCACGAGCCGTGGGCTTCGGAGAGGCCTTTTCCCCGTCCGGGCTGGGCAACTTCGAGCGGAGACCTTTGCTGGAAGCATCCTTTACTTTGTTGAATGACAGATGGAAGGTTACCGTGGTACCGACGCCGGAGGTGGAATCAAGCCAGATTGCACCACCTAGAACGTCTTCGATGATTGCCTTACAGATGCTCAAACCGAGACCACTGCCTCCGTAGGATCTTGCTGTCGAGTTATCGGCCTGAGAGAAAGGCCGGAAGAGTCGCGACTTCTGCTCCTCGGAGATACCGATTCCTGTATCTGACACCGAGCATTCCAAACGAATGCGCCCTTTGCCCTCGCGTGATACCCTGGCCCGCACGGTCACAGATCCTTTAGGTGTAAACTTGTAGCTGTTACTTAGCAGATTCATGAAGATCTGATGCAGGCGAACAGGATCACCAAGGACCACAAGCTCTGGGGGAACCTTGTCCAAATCCTCGATCGTTTCTAAGCCTCGGTCGCGGTGCGTATAACGAAGCGCGCGAACAACCTCCGAGATCGTTTCCCGGATATTAAGCGGAACGGTGGAAATCTTCATCTTCCCAGCTTCCAGCTTCGAAAAGTCAAGGATGTCGTTGATGAGGGTCAGCAGAGTGTCGGCACACACCCGAATCGACTCTACGTATTCATCTTGCTCCTTATCCAATCGAGTACCCTTGAGAAGCTCTGAGAGACCGATGACACCGTTCATTGGGGTGCGCAAATCATGGGAGATATTGGCAAGGAAGATGGACTTGGCCTTGGCCGCATCTTCCTTTAACTTCACATTGTGCTTCGCTTCGGCTTCTGCCACCTTGGCCTTCTGCTCCGCCTCCCGCGCCTGGGCCAGCGCGCGCTTTTGCGCTTCAACCATCGAAGCATTCGTGGCACTGACCTTGCGAACCTCGCGGAAGAGCAAGGCGTTGGACAATGATATGCCGATCTGATTGCAGAGCAAGTGAAGCACAACCACATTCCGCTGCGTAAAAGAGTTCGGCTTTCCCTCGATATGAATAACACCAAGAAGGTTTTCTGCTTGCATGATTGGCAATGCAATCACCGACCTACCGAGTGGGTATCTTGCCTGATAAGCTTCGCTGACGTTGGAGAACCGTTCATCTTCAAGTACGTTGTGGACAAGAACCTCCTCGCGCGTGCGCATCACATAGTGGGAAATCTGGTGCGCCATCTTGTCCTCGATTTCCGAAAATGGAAGACCGTCGACGTATGACTTTTGCCCCTTCTCCATGTCACCAGTCGCGGCCACGGTAAAATTGTTATCAAAGTTCGTCGCAATAAGAGCTGAGTCCGAGCCGTTGCATGATTCTAGGACAATTTCGATCATCTTTGTCAAAAGCTTGTCAATCTGAAGCTCGGACGACATCACCTGGCTCGACTCGAGTATACTTGAAAGGTCGATTATATCGAGACCGACACCAGAGATATCCAATGAACGTTCCCCGGTTGTGACGCCGTTCTGTTCTAACCAGCGCTGTTTTCGGTCGTCTTCTTCCATGTTTGCGTTCACGCCCATATGTTCCTGGCCCGCATTGCGGTTGATTCCAAGGAGAGAGTCAACAGTCTGACAGCCGACGTCAACATTTCTCGAAGAGGTCGCAGTTTTCAGAAGCCACTCGTGCTTTTCAGTCAGTTGTGCTGCCTTGCCCACGGCACTGATCGCAGCCCAGGCGGCAATTGCATCCTGCATCACAGAACGTGCCGCTCTCTTGGCACCACGACGAATCAGGAATTCACCGTGCAGCTCAAGGGCAAGGGCCTCTTCCATTGGCCACCCATGGATTTGGCAGTGATCAATTGCCGCCTCAAAAGCTTGAATGGCAGACGTGTGGTCGTTTCGGACTTCGCAGATCAAGGCCTCCAGAATCAGGGACCACATGCCGTAATTGGCATCACAAGCACTGCGGGCGAAATCGACCTCTGCTTTATACTGCAAAACCGTCTTCAGACTCCCATCAAGATACCCACGTGCCGGATAATCGTTATGAAGCGTCAGGAGTGAAAGGGCAAGATAGAAATAAACGACATAAGAAACACGAGCAGACCATAACCTAGGCATAGTATCCATCATTTGCATGCCAACCTCTATAGCTCTGGTATGATGTCCAAATGCGAACAGTGGGATCATTGCCAAGCCCCAGTAGATATCCCGCGGGCGATCCGCATTGCTGGCGTTGTTTTCCAGGAAAGCGATGTATTCGTTTGTGTGATGGTGCTCGTCAGACATGGCAGCATGAGCGAACCGACAGGATGTTTTGCCTTGCAGAGCACGCGCTACTTGTCTATAGATTCATGAGAGTCAGCCCTGGCGTTTGCTCCTATTATAAGTAGTGAAATTAGTCAGTTTGAGGGTTCCTACCGCACGGCGAGAAGAGTAGCACCCCCACGGGTATCATTCACCCAATCAGGTATATCCTCTGGGCTTTCATTGCAGAAAGCCTCGACTTGAGCCATATCGTGGCCCAGGAATAGCCTCGTCATTGCCATCGATGAGAGACTGATCAACGTGATGTAGGGGTCGCCCATTGAGAACGAAGTCTCCACTGAGGTTTCAAGAACAGGAAGCGTGGAGGACAATGGTACCCGTAAGTGGGCAACATACAAGTTATGAACGATTAGGCCCCGACTCTGCGTCCAAGGCTCCGGGCACCGCTCAAGAAGGCTGAGTGCATGGTCACTGAGCTTGACAGCAAGGTCCAAATCGCGGAAGCGGCTGAAGGAAATCATAGCAAGATGCGAGCAGCCTATTGAGATCTGGACAAACCCACCTTTGAAGAGATGGAGATTCATCATCTCAATGGCCATTCGGTAAAATGTCAACCCATCATCCCAGTACGTGACGGACATTGCCTCGGCCATCACCGCGCCAATAGTTATCATATTAATGTCTTTGCTAACAGGCTTCCGCACCATGGTGTCCAAGTCCATCTTGCCGAGATATTCGCCAAGTGTTTTGTAGGCAGCATCGCATTTTTCATATGTGGTTGGATCCCGGAGATGAACGCCCAGCTCATCTAGACATGTAAGAAGAGAGTCCATTGAGCGGAGGTGGTTGCCCATCTGGGCGTAGATCTTCGCCTTCACAATCCAGGCCCTAGACTTGCAGACAGCACTTTTTCCATGCTCGAACACTTTGTCCAGGAGATCCAGGGCTTCGGTGTTGTGTCCTTGAGACCATGACATTTCGGCGGTGGCGATATGCAGGCGCAGGGTCTCATGATAGTAAACATCGGTGTTATTGTCATTCCAAGGATCATCCTGTAGGAAAGCAATACAATGACGGAAGTACCAGAGCGCAGTTGGTCGAGCGCCTGACTGGGCCGCAGTTTGGGCTGCATCCCAGAGAATCTTCCTATATTCCAGCCTCTCAATAACACGAGACTTGATGATCCGCGACGCAAGAGCCACATGCCGTGCCAGTGCATATCTACTGCGTCCGTCGTGGTAGTATTTCATCATGGCCTGGGATATGATGAAATGCATCTTCTCAACGTTCCGTCCCTCAGTCAATGACAATGCGGCTTGGGAGAACCGATCATTTACAAACCTTATGCGGGCCCGAGTTAATGGAACGATCAAGTGGAGACAAGATAGAGTTGATGAGAGTACATACCTGAATTCATCGTCCGTCTTTCCGGGAATGATAAGGTTTGCTTGGACAAGGTACTGCAGTCCAACAACAATGTCGGCCTCGGACTGTCGAATCAGGTTTGCGTTTTGCGGGCAAGTCAAATCGATAGCCTCGTCGTCATCGCTTGAAAATAGAAACTCGCTTGTGAGAAGTTTCTGTACTAACGAAAATGCAAACGGGCTTCCCAGCAACGCCCCCCAGACCATTATGGACCTTGCCGCTGTCGGGATTTCCTGAAGGCGCCGAGCAATGAAACCGAGCCCTAGGCCCTCGCCATACCTAGGCGCCACAAATTCGGTGAAAATGCGGTCCAAGTCAAATTCCCAGGTAGAGTTTTTCCACGAATACCAGATGCAGTTTTTGCTATAGCAAGTCTCCAACATCATTCGCACAAAGAACGGATTGCCCATGCTCTTCTCCTGGATCACGGCGGCGAGTGGCGTTAACGTTGGGTTGGGGGCTTGATGCATCGTAGCCGCTACGACCTGCATGATCTCTTCTTCTCCGAGGGGCTTCAGCAGGACTCGGGTCACATTGGGGTTGTCCGCTTCGAAAAGTGATTTGATAGCGTCTGACTCGAGTTCAGACTTTCGGCTCGTGAGAATCAGCACACAAGGTAGCTTTGCCTTCACGATGTTCATGATCAGTTCCAGGGTTTCGTCATCAGCATAGTGCAAGTCATCGACGCATGCACAAATCACCCTGTATTGCGATAGTGTCTTGAGAATTTCCAAGAAGGTCTCCATCAGTCGCATGTTCTTCAGCGCTGCATTGGACAGAAAGAAGTCCACCGAGCTTTGCCCATCGTCAAGACGCGGCATTGCCATGCGCTTGGATGGTTCTCCTTTGGTCGATACATCTTTGAAGATGTGCTGCGCTGCCGAGAGCCTGGGTGAGATCTGCTTATCCTTGCTTCCCGATGACATGAGCTGTTCCGGAAGCTCAAGGACCCGGTGCAAGGTCGGCCACATGGGTCGTAATGCCGTGCGGACATTGTTGTGATAGTCAGTGGTCACATCACGTTCCGAGAATATTTGCCGTAAAAGGCTAGCCAAGATCTTTGCGAATGGTTCGAATGGAACGCGCCTAGCCCGGTCCAGACGGGCTATGCCGATATATCCAAGTTTACGAATCGTGGGTTGAACTCGGTTTAAGAGGTCGGTCTTTCCAATGCCAGCCGCACCGCTGATGGTGATGATCTCACATTTGCCGACACGACGTGTTTTATTTCCAGGTTTTGCTCGATTTACGGAAGTGATCGACTCCCCATGACTCTGTGTGCTTGCACCCATGGAAGGGTGACTATCTCGGTCTGCAATATCCCATGATGCGCGTGATTCCACCGGACTCTTGAGTTTGCCGGAAGCGTTTCCTGGCTTTGGGGTGGAAAGAGAAGACTCGGTGCTATGCAGGGACTCATGTGTAGATACCCGACCCAGAGGGCCGCCGTTAGAAGCTGCTTTGGAAGTTAGATGGAATGAGCCTGAGTCGCTAGAGCCAGATGCAATTTCGAAGCTATCGACCCGACCATCGGAGACGGACGAGTTCGAACCCACTCCATTGCTAGCTTGCGCGCCAGCTCGCGCATATGCACATTGCTGGCGCCTGTGGACCTTCTCCACAACACTGATGATCTTGTCGTATTCTTCGCGTCGGCCGAACATGCGAGACGGAAGGGTGAAAAAGGACGAGACGTCACGCTGGGCGATCTGGAAGTCCTTCAAGGCCTCGCTGTCACCATCGCCAAGTAGCTGGGAGATCTGCGCTAAGTCTCGTTTGACGGAGGAGATCGTATGATAGCGTTCGTTCACAGCCTTCTGCGTCATCTTTTGAATGACAGCCGATACAGCATCCGGAACATCCATTCTCTTCGCCGAAACGGGGACCAACTTCTTTCCAAGAACGTTCTGTACAACCTCCACCGGGTCGCTGCCGGTAAAGGCCGGCTTGCCCACCAGCATAGTCCAGAACAGCACGCCTAGCGCATAAATATCAGTCCGACTATCGGGTTCCGTCGGCATTCGCCCCGTCTGCTCTGGTGCGATAAACTGCAGCTTGTTCTTGACGCCTAACTCCCTCGAGAGCGATGACCAGCCTTCACTCAGGATGTTGTCAAATGACCGGGCTCCATTGCCAGTGTTGGTCAGCTTGACCGAGCGGGCCTCCCGATTGAAGTGGAAGGCATCGCCCCGAATTTCGCCATGAACGGTTTTGAGGCCGTAGTGTAGAAGTTCCAAGCAATCACATGCGCCTATCGCAAAGTCCAGAAATACCGCCAGAGAAACCTGCTCCCCGGGAGTGGGCTCGTTGCTGTCAGTCCTGCCGCCAACTGCGAACCAAGCGGGTCCAAAAGCGACCATCTCTCGCAGCATGTTCGGACCGGGAGACTCGAACAGAGCCACGAGCAGCGTGCCTGAATCCCCGGGGTCGGGCGGCAATCGGATCAGATCGATCGGCCGTATGGTGTGGTTGCAGTCCGGGTCCGAGGTTTGTACAATCGACCGTAGCATATGGAATTCGCGCTCGAGTCTAACGACGTGGGACGAAACCCGGGCGACGACGGGGATCCAGATCGGCTCATGATCGATACGAGAAAGCGATATTTCGCTGCTGGACTCACTCAAGCTGCTCCTCCAATTATGACGGAACGGGGGTCGGGACTCGGTGCGCGGGGAATTGCGAGCCAGGCTGGAGGGGCCGGACGAGGTTGCGGCCGGGGTAGAAACATCACATTCGACGGCATGACGAAGACCAAAGACATGCCAGTGGTTGTAGGTGGAATGAAAGGGCTCAGTGGACTGGTCCCAGGTGTATCCAGGCAACTGCGCCAATCTTTCGAAGAGCCGCGCCGGGGGGAGCGGCAAGTCGTCACCCAAGATATGGCTATCCTCCATCGCAACCAACAATAAACAATTGTGTCAGAATAGCACCCCTCAATTGACGGCCATAGATGTCTTGACGGTCGTGTGGAAACGCACTCGTACTCGGAAAAGGGTGGTCGGAGTGCGCAGTAAGAAGCATTCATACGAACGAAAACGGATTCCAACAAATGATCGCCAAGGACGGTGGAGAGAGAAGGAAAGAGGGAGGAGGGGAGGAGTTGTGCCGCTCCCTGTGATTAGATTAGGTAAAGGTCCACGCTGGGAGACCGCACGCTTGTGCGGACTTGGGGAGGAGAGGATGGGTGTTTGAATTCCCTTTGTTTTGGATTCAGTTGAGGAAATAGGTTTGGTTGTAGCTTACCTGAATACAACCACCAAGTCGAGGGGGAGCTGTGGCCTGGTTGGGTGGAAGCGAACAACTTTTGATGAGGAGAGTTTCGCAATGAATCTTTCGAGGCAGGGAACTTTTGGTTCAATGGGGTCGAGCGGCCTGAGGCTGTCGGATTTCCTCATTGAGAGGGCTCTTTCCTTATTATGGATGAGTCAGCTACCGTTCGGGCATCACGAGGGAATCAAAGCCCAATCAAAGCAAATCCCTAGTGGGTGTGGCCGATCGATCAGCCGTTGGTTTTGTCTCACACAACATGATGACAGTCAAAACGGGCTTTGCTACAGAGTACTTGCAACAACATGCCATCCAAACAGAATGTCAATCCTCCGCCCGCTCTCTTTTACCCTTTTGTTTCATTTTCCTTGGTCTAGCCTTCTAGTCCTTCTTCACAACCCTGCTTGTCGGATGGATGGGACAGGTGCATTCGGTAGCCCCTGGCGACTGGAAATGGTATCCATGGGCCGCTCCAACCACAGGCCCCAAGGTAAAGGATAGTCATCATAGTATACAGAAACGTTTATCCTGCGCTATCCCGCCTAAAGGGAAGAAGACTCCTGACTATCAGAATGATAAGGAGTACGACCCCGGACTTTTGATTCGAAGAACAGGGTCTGGGGCCTGAATGAAAGTCAGTCAGGCTTAATCTGAGTTTGAACTAACATTCGGATATGTCACCGGCACAATGTCATGAACTACCGATCCATTGTAATTGTACCAGTTGGAAGTATGTCTCCCACGTGTTCGATCACCGACCGACATGAGCACAAGAGCAGGATGCAGACCTGGCTTCGTCATACCATTTATTTTAAGATCGTCAGGTCCCTGCACTGACACTACACAACCGCGTAGGTGCTGATGCAGCCGGTGGTGGTATGCAGCAGAAGGGGCCCTGGTGATACGTGGATAGTCTTTCCGTTGCAGGCGGTGTATCACATCTCGCTCTCTATCTGCCCATCTGAAGCTGTAGAAGATTAAGTATGCTAGCCCGGTTCATTCCCATGGTACGAAACGCCTCGGAGGCTGCCAACCCACGCGGCGCATTGACGATTGGATGCCGTCATCGCTTCGTACCTTGAATCTTCTACGCAAATTTCAGCTTTCATCCTTGAGCTATCCAGGCTTCTGCACGTACTAGTTCGAACTTCTGCGACTATCATTTCCGATTGCGCTTGGGTCTTCTTGGTTGTCACCTTGACCTTTGCACACATTCATTACCAAGTTTGGACTACATCTTACCTGAGATGACCATATTATCTATGGAGGTTCGCAAACTTGAAAGCTGCCGGGATCGATAAATCGCAAGACACTTCATGCTTGAGAACTTTACCAGGCGTCGCGAGGGGATACAATTTGTCGCTCGACCCCGTAGAGCGATCCCAAGGACACTACTTCCGGGAGCGTGGCCAAGCGAAGTTCGGGGTAAACTCCAGTAGTGCTATTTGTGAATAACAAGGGCAAACAGATACCAGGCGATAACTTGTAGAGGTTCTAGAAGTGAAGCGGCCGCCTGGTCGGTTAGTGGTTAGTGCGCCGATCGCGTGCCTCACGAACCATTATTGAGGATCTCACCAAATGCCCAACAGTGCCTCTGCGAATAGCGCGCGACCAGGCTATGAGATCATGCAGCTATGTCTTGATTACAAGAGCGTACTGGGTATGATAAAAGCAGTTTGGGGGGCTTTTCTGTTCCACCTGATCTGTTCTGCTTCCGGAGTGGACGGGACCCAGTATCCGGAAGAGAGCTGAGGGACTCACGTGAGGGGAACAGTGGAGGTTGACCGCCTTCGGCGCCAAGTAAGTGATGGCTCGTGACCAAGTTGCTGCAGTGTACGACTTAGTATATCTAGTGCTGTTGTAGCGATGATGCAGCCATGAGCGAGAAGCCACTGTCATTGCCGCCCCACCTTATGCGATGTGGATGGAAAGAATGGTTCCCGAGTGTTGGAACCATTCTTCGGTTCTATCGGCGCGAGGTCGGATGTACTCAAAGGGCGGTTACCGGGGAGTATTGATCAGAATTGACCGTCGGTCGCTGTCTATTATAGAGAACAGTGATGATGATGATGTGGTGGTGGCGGCATTGGCGGAGGGAGGGCTTGCTTACTTGATGCAAACCCAAGACGGCGGGGGCTGCCCTTACACTAGTCTACTTTGAGTTATGTCAATGTCATCCAGCATTTGTCGTTCCTGCGACTAAATGAATGTGGCATCATCCAGAGGGGTAAGGTTATTAATGTTAAAGACTCGTGCTGCTGTTGCTCCTGCTGCTGCTCCTGCTGCTCCGGGCTTATAGTCTAGTTTGACTGATGTCTAGTTATAACTTAACTATCGGAATTACTAAGAGTCTAGCCAGTGCTTAGTGAGAATCCATCCTACGAGTAGGCAAAATCGAGCGATGTCCATTCCCTGCGCCCGCTACTACTAGGACTAGGCAGGGCAAGTTAGTAGACTGACTGACTGACTGACTGACTGACTGACTGACTGATTGACCACCACCAGTACTTGGTTTTCTCTTGTTACTTCCTTGTAAGTGTGTTTCTCTCTCATTTTCTCTCTTGGTGTAGTCCAGCGGACTATTCTACTTCCTTTCCGATCGATCTCACTCCAATTTTGCATTGTTTCTTCTCTTCTTGTTCCTCTCTCCCACCCAGTGCTCTCTGCGACAACTTCAACAGATTGTTTGCCAGGAATAGAGAGAGAGACCCGTCTTTATTTCTTTTGAAGGACTCAATTGCTGCGGGACAATTGAGATTAGTGCCGAAATAGGCTTTCTAATCTTCCCTTGCCTTCGCTCTTCTTCCCTTAACTATTCTCTGTTTCTCCTCCCCTCCCCTCCCCTCCCCCCCCCTCTCTCTCTCCCTCTCTCTCGCCGCCGCCCCCCCATTCATCCAGCCCAGTCCAGGCAGAGCTTTGCCTTACCTACGTCATAGTTTGGAATATTCTCTCTCCCCACCCGGAGACGGACCATTTCCACATCTTGAACTTTCCCAGCACAAATCGACGATCCGCTGCTGGGTCCATTCATTATTATCATTTTATTGTACTAGCACTTTAGCCATAGCAGTCGAACCTGCTGCTACTGCTGCTTCACGGCTTCCACTAGGAAAGAAAGGTCAGATTCAGTTGAGCCTTTCTTCCAATCCCCTTTTACCAGAAGACTACCCCTACTTGTCTACCACCATTACCTACCTACTACCTACTTACTATTACTTACTTCCTTTGGAAGTCTCAAATCATCCCATCCCATCCTATCCCCTTTCATCTTGTCCCATTCATCCACCATAACCCACACCCACTCACCACCCCCCATAATCACTTCCGATATACACCGCTTTAGTCACCTTTCTTCCAACGGCCCATTTTCGAAAAAAAAAAATCGTTCGTTTACCATTTCCCACTCTTTCCCCCCTCGTGTCTCTATTTTTTTTTTCTTGTATATTCCTTTCTCTCGCGCCTACGCTCCCCATATCTCGCGCCGGTGAAAAGTATTGCGGACGTTTTTTTTTTTACATGGTCGCAAATTCAAGCGCGCCCCCCCTCCACCTTAACCCCCCTCCCCCAACCCCTTCAACTGCCTTGTATTTCGAGCCAATCCACACCACCCCTTTTCGTTTCGCTCGTCGGGTTCTTCACCGTGTGCGCGCTATATACACCCTCCCGCTCCAATAGCGTTCTTGTCTCTCTTCTTTTCCCCGACCCTTCGAATTAAGTTATCTTCTCCGGTTACTTGTTTGGTTTTCGTTGGTCCTGTGCATCAATTCTCCTCATCATCCTGACCTCCCTCCTCCCACTTGATTTTGCGGACCATTTTGTCCGAGAGATGAGTGCCTCAGTTGGCTCCTGTGGAGTTGGATTCGCCCAGGAGAATTGATTTGTGACCGGCGGTGGAGGGAGATTTAGGATGGGCGAAGTTAACAGCATGAAGACACCTCCGCTTCCATCGCCGGCCGAGGCCCCTTCGCCTGTCGCCGCGCCCCATTCCCATTGTCGACCCTCCTTGCAGCCAGCCCATTCTGTTTCTGTTCATGATGTTCACTATGCAGTTGATGGACATGCGACGCCGGGGAACAGTTCACGCAATGCTAACTCTCGCTCTTCTCCTATATCGCACGAACAGACTGCGACCGCATGCCACATCCCGTCACCTCCGAAGAAGGACAGTCCTGAAGCGGGAAAAGGAACCCAGGAGGATCAAGGGCGCAGTTTGCAGACCCTCAAGGAGCTCCGGAGGCAGATGGAAGAATTACTGGTCTATCAGCAGATGCAGCAATCCCAGAACCAATCCACCTCGGCCGCTCGAGAGCTTTCTGCATCGCAACCCGATCCCGCACCTTCGAGCACCACAGAGTCCACCAGGAAACGGCCGCTCAATGTGTCGTTCGCGAAAACCCTATCAACCACGGGAGCATTGCCTTCTGCCTCATACTCCGACTCCACTGGTTCTGGTGGCACCATTAGAGCCATGGATTCCAACACCTCTCCCGACAACCTCCCCGGACCAACTCCGTCCTACCCCTTCCCAAGAATGGAGTCGCACTTTCCGAACAGAGCAGCCCAGGACTCCGCCCTCAACCACAACGCATTCAAGTTGACCCTACCTGCCGACAAAGTCAAGGCCCGGATGGGACCGTCCGACAATGCGGACGAACAATTTTCTGCTGCGGCGTATCCTCAAGGTGTTTTTTTACCGCCTCAGTACAAGGCTGTGCCCGAGGATCCAGCCTACCCCAGCCCCAATCTGTATGAACTTACCCTGCAGTTGAACGCAGATCCCGGGTTGGAAGCGTGGTGGGCAAACGTCGTCCAGATTCTGCAGACACACTACGGAGCGGAGAGAGCATCGCTGGCCGTACCAGGAGACGCAACAGATTTGGAGAATGTTCCGTGGGGCCAGAAAGCAGTCTTTGACCCAGACGCCCTCCCTATCGATGCGGGACAATTGCAGGGTGAAGCGAGTACGAGCGACGACGCCGCCTCGAAGGGGAATAAGGAAGCGACGGCAAAAAAGAAAGGGCTGCTGGCAGAAGCTGTTTTGAATGGGTCGAAAGCCTCCCATTCGCCAAAGCGACCGTCCTTATTGTCACGGCACTCGTTCGCTGGCTTTGGAAAGGAACGGAAACAGCCCGACTGGCGTGACACGGAATCTAAATGCGGGGAACATGTCGGCGGTCCACCTAAGACGGAGAGCAAAGGAACGCAGAGCGACATCGAGACTCCGACCAACGAACCGGAGCCAACGTTCGGGCTGACACCTCAACGTCTGGCGGTATTCCCCGTACCCCGACCGCTAGAAGTCGAGTCCGATCCGCTTATCAAGAGAACTGGGGTGGTAAAGCTCTTTGGACGCACCAATCCCGTTGTTCTAACACGAGAATATTCAGAGGGAGTGGTTAACCATCCCGGTCAAGGAGAGCCCCTCGAAACCCCAGAAGACAAACCTCAGGCCACCCCAACAGCGCAACCAGCAAACGCCAATCAATCATCCCGTCCAGCGCGCGCGAGAGGGGTATCCAATCCTGGTCTGTTCAAGTCCAGGGGGACCCCGTCCATGGAATTGTTCGACGAGTATGAACAGGTGCCCCCTTCCCCGTGGTCTCAATCCCCAGCTCCATCCCCTGCACCTCGCGCCCATGCGGAGCAGAATCCATTCTTCGTCAGCCACGCCGTCGATGAGAGTGCATTCGCAAAGCATCCCCCGCCTCACGATTATTCCAATTTGGGTCCACTGGAAGCCATTGGCGTTGACTTCGCCAAGTCGGTGGTCCACATTCCTCTTCTGCACGTCGGTCGCGCCAAGGATACGTCGCCGTCCACTCTCCGGTTCCCCGTCGCTGTGATCTCGATATTATCTCCCGTCATCCCCTATCCCACGAATCTCAGAAGATCACTGTCATATCTTATGCCCCATCTTACGACTTCGTTTGGCCTCGCTCAACAGTACAGCCAGCTTGAGCGTCAAATCACTTCTCGGCTTGAGGCTCCACGCTATGGCCATCTTCTGGGTCTTGGCGGGACCTTCTCAGATGAAAGCAGCGAGCTGGAGCTGGTTGCGGGTCTCAGTGGCCATGTGAGCTACACAATTGCGGATGACGGATCTTTGTCTGCTAGAGCTAGTATCTCTAGTCCAGAAGAAAGATCGAGTTCGACTAAGCTCAGTCCTTCGCTATCCAATCTCGGGACACCCGGCTTCGACCTCGGTCTGATCGCCTCAGGGGGAACCACTTTGTGTGAATCTCCTGGGGTGGTGCCCAAGACGGGTACTGATAACCCCGATGGGTACTTCAACGTACATCAGTCGAAGGGCTTCCGTGATGCCATCACTCAGCATCGGAACAGATTGGCCAAGATGAGACAGAACATGGCGTCATCAACCCCTACTTCTCCAGGGAGGCTTGTGAGTAAGTCTGCCGATGAAGAAGCCACTCCGCAAGATCAAAGTCCGGGGGTTGTCTCTCCCTCGCAGGATACGAAGGGGCCACAGGTGGTATCCCCAACGCAGACTGCTTCCCGCCATCCCTCCACGAATTCCTTCTACGCTCAACTGCAACGCGAGCTTCCGCGCCCCTTCTCCGATACTGTGGCTCAGCTTATGCTGAACTCGGTGCCCTTACACCTCTTTCTTGCCAAACCGCAGAGCGGAGAGGTAATATGGACCAACTCCAAGTTCGATGCTTACCGACGGAGTCAGCCTCAGGAACAAAAGGTTCGAGATCTCTGGCAGAATATTCATAGCAGCGAAAGAGAGCACCTGTCTCAGGAATGGGCGAATGCACTGCGGACTGGGTCACAATTTACGGAACGCGTACGAGTCAAACGATTCAATGACGAGTCGGCCTATCGCTGGTTCATCTTCCGGGCCAACCCTCTGCTGTCTTCCACCGGTGAGGTGCTTTACTGGATTGGGTCGTTCCTCGACATACATGAGCAACATATTGCCGAATTGAAGGCCGCCCAGGAGCGAGAAAAGTTCGCCACCGACGCGAAATATCGAGCCTTCTCCAACTCCATCCCCCAGATTGTTTTCGAAGCCACAGAATACAGGGGCCTGATCTTCGTCAATGAACAATGGCATCTTTACACCGGTCAAAAGCTCGAGGAAGCGTTGAACTTTGGGTTTGCGAAGCACGTCCATACCGACGACCTTGAGAAATGCGGCCTTCTGTCTTTGTATCTTGCCGAGCCTCAGAAGGTTGAGTCGGCCGCTGGAGCAGGGGAGAATGCAGCGGAGGCCGTACGCAAGGCAGTCTCACAAGACAATCAATTTGGCCAGGGTGTCACGCCTGCATTGGAAGAACTGGTGAGGCGTGGGGTCGCCTCTGTGCAGAGGGACGAGAACGGACGTGTCTTCTACTCTACGGAAATCAGGCTTCGCTCGAGAGGTGGAGATTTCAGATGGCATCTGGTTCGTCTGGTTTGCGTGGAGACCAGCAGCTTTGGCAGCGGAGAGGCGTCCTGGTACGGCACATGCACGGATATCAATGACCGCAAGAACCTCGAACGCGAACTCAACAAAGCCATGCAGCAACTCAATAACCAAATGGAGTCGAAGACCAAGTTCTTCAGTAACATGTCTCACGAGATCCGGACTCCGCTCAATGGAATACTAGGCACCATTCCTTTCATTCTAGACACCCAGCTGGATACTGACCAGCGGCGCATGCTTGACACTATCCAAAACAGCTCAACCAACCTGCGAGAGCTGGTTGATAATATTCTGGATGTCTCCCGGGTGGAAGCTGGCAAGATGACAATGGTTAACTCATGGTTCCATGTACGATCTGTGATCGAGGATGTCATTGACACCGTCTCGTCTAGAGCAATCGACAAGGGCCTTGAGATCAACTATTTGATGGATTCAAACGTTCCGCCGATGGTCATCGGAGACAGGTTCCGTATTCGCCAAGTTCTCATCAACCTTGTCGGTAACGCAGTCAAGTTTACTGCTCAGGGTGAGATCCATATATGCTGCTCTATCTATGATGGTAGCCCAGCTCCTCCCAAGTCCACGGAATTGTTGTTGAACTTTGATGTCGTCGATACCGGCAAAGGCTTCAGCGTCCGGGATGCAGAACGACTGATGCAGCGGTTCAGTCAACTTGGACAGAACGGCTCGCAACAGCATGCCGGTAGTGGTCTGGGACTATTCCTTTCAAAGCAGCTTGTCGAGATGCATGGTGGCAAGTTGACGCCCACCAGTAAGGAAGGGCAAGGTGCCAAGTTCTCGTTCTATGTCAGAGTGGACGCTCCACCACCGCCGCCGACCCCTGATGAGCCCCGACTTGTCCGGCAATCCTCCAGCACTTCTGATGTATTCCTGGAGCATTTCAAGCCGAATCCACTGCAGAAGCTGCTGTTCAGAAAGGACTCCATGGATAGCCGAGGACCTGACGCGGCGGATTTCTCTTCGGCTCTCGAGAACTCATTGGCACAACCCCAAACAGGCTACGAACCCCATGTACGCTTCCCTTCGATCAATTTCTCGGAAAAGTCTTCTATCTCTTCTGCACTTCCGACTCCAGACCTCTACACGGTGGATCCGTTGGCCAAGCTTGACCACACCAAGTCTGCCCTCCCAAGCGGTGATATCACGCAGCCAACGGCACCATCCTCCTCCTCGCCTTCGCAAGAATCTTTCGCTTCAACCAAGCCTACGGAGTACACTGGATCGGACGCGCAGCCTCTACCCAGCAGCTATTGGATTCTGATCCTCTGTCCTCTGGACAACACTCGCCAGGCTATCAAGCAACATATCGAGCAGGTGGTTCCCCTCGAAGTTCCTTTCTCCATAACCTCTACATCTGATGTGGAAGATTGGAGGGACTCGGTCAGCGATGTCACCAAGCTTACTCATCTGGTCCTTAATTTGCCCAACGTGGATGACGTTTTGGATATGATGCACTACGTGTCAGAGTGCGATCTCGAGACCGCACCCAGTCTGGTCATCATCTCTGATCTGTACCAGAAGCGACAAATCAATTCCAGGATTCTGGAGTTGGCGTCCAGCGGGAGACGTATATACACCGTACCGAAGCCAGTGAAGCCGTCTGCCTTCTCATCCATATTTGATCCCGACAATAGGCGCGACTTGAGCAAGGACAGGAACCAGGATATGGCTCGGGAGATCAACAACAACTTCAAGACCATGTCGAAGATGGTGAAAGAGGTCATCGGGAACAAGGGATACAGAGTGTTACTCGTTGAAGATGATGATACAAACCGTATGGTAAGTGTGGCCGTATGTCCCGATGTTGTCCGCTATTCGGTATGCTGATTTCTTTCAGGTGATGTTGAAATACCTCGACAAAATCAAGGTGATGGCAGAGACAGCCACCAATGGTCAAGAGTGCACTGAGATGGTATTTTCTAAGGAACCGGGATACTACTCTCTTATCATCGTAAGTGAAAGAGCCGACCCAGAGCTGCCTTGGTAGTTCCAGTTTTGCTAATCATCCCCGCAGTGTGATATCCAAATGCCCATCAAGAACGGCTATGAGACATGTCGTGAGATCCGCGCCTGGGAATCCAAGAACCACTACCCACAAATACCGATCATGGCTCTTTCAGCCAACGCAATGACGGATCAAATCGAGGATGCTGCGCGCGCTGGCTTCAATGATTATGTCACCAAACCGATCAAACACAACGAACTCGGAAAGATGATGATGGGACTGCTTGATCCCAACCGGCCTTTGCTTCTTCTGCGGGACCGTCTCAAGGCCGAGAATGCGGGGAAGTTCCGCGCCGAGTGAAGGCCAGCACGTGTCGACTCTCCAGTGTTATAATGTACCTGCTACGTATTCCACCCCGACTCATTCGCCTTGTGGAGGCGAGATTTAATAATTTCTTTTTCTTGTTTTGTTTGGGACCGGCAATGAAGTATCGGACGGAACGGCGCCCCGGATGATTTCTCGAGTCTTGCTTGATATTGCTTTCTGCGTCCCAGTCTTACGGTTGCGGCCTCGTTTCTCCATGGCATTTTTATCTGCATTCGGCATGTCAATTTGAAATGATACCTTTCAGCATTCATGGGGCGGGGGGTTCATGCTTGTTGTGTTGTTCTTTGGACCTACGGACCTCCGTTCATGGCGTCAGTCTGTTCTTTTACGGGATTTGTATTGAGAGATTCTCCCTACGTCTTTCTTCCCTCCTCCTATTGAGCTCTTTCCACTGCTCCAAATTACGCGCGGCTTTTTTCCCGGTAATCGATTACCGATACCAGCTTCATGAGCACGACCTTTTACATTCTGGAATTGTATTTGCCCAAAACCGATCGAGCATGTTGATTTTTTTTTCTTTCCTGCACTCGGCGTCCGTGTTTGTGGTTGATGGAGTGTTTCTCATCCCTTTCGATGAAGTAGATTATTGAATTCTATAGTGATATACCCTACCTAGTCAGGTTGCTAGCAAGCTATAACGATGATCATGTGGAGATTTTTGGTGAAAGTATAGTTTAGGGGCGCTGAGAGTTGTATGGTGTTTTAGCATTCCGTGTCATCATATCCGAACCTACATATATTTATAATCTCAACACCATTCCTCTTTACCAAAACACTATTCAATGAGGGTTCCGTTCCATGAATAAATCGTGACAGAAAGAAACACACACTTCCCCATCCCGCACCAACTGAATAAACATACGAAATATACCAGGCAAACATTAACCTCAGACCCAAATCCGGAACAAGACATCCGATAAAACTCATACCCACAGCCCACTATCCATAACTTAACTCCCAAGTCAACAAGAGTTTCAACCTCTTATTTCCAAAACCACAACCCAGACCACCGAAACCCCGAAAAGAAGCTGTCATAAGCATAGTACGCACCGCATAACCGAACCCTTCTTCTTCACCCGACTCAAAGCCAGGGTAAGCTAGACGACCACCCGATTCAACGAACCGCTTTCGTGTATACTATAAATCAGAGAAACACGGGATATCCCCCCCGGATATACTGTACTATACGATGGGAATCTCGGCAAAAAACTATCATCAGATGAACGGGCCCCAGAACAAAACTAATCAGCGATAGAACCAAAGTAATCCGGGAGAGACGCAGGAGCAAAGGAGGGAGGGGATACGAGCTCCCTCCCTCCCTTAACCCCCCTCGCATCGCATCGCATCGCATCGTATTGCCACGAACCCAAAAAACACGAAGCAAAGCGAAGCGAAGTAAGCAATGATATGATATCCGCGGAGCTGGGGATGGCGCTGGAGCGGAAGCTGAAACACTTTACTTAGTTACTTACTTATTTCCCTACCCATATAGCATCCAGTATCCATCCTGAACAGCCAAGCTGAAAGAAACTCGACCCGAGTACGAGGACTATCTATCGTGTTTATATGATTGTCTGGTCTGGCTGGTAGCAATCAAACCCTCCGGTAAGGCGTCCTGCTTATCCACCCTATAGCATTCTTCCTTATCTCCACCCCCATCCAATAACATTGAATTAATGGGTTTATATATATACAAGGAGGGAGGATGGAATGCTGATCTCACGCCGTGTCGAGAAGATGTCTAGCTATTTCTATCCGTAGACCTGCGCGCAGGGCTAATGACGAAACCCACGTCGTACGAATCGAGTCATGTAAAAGTGAGTGGCGAGTTTTGCTTTAGAGTCTGGAGGGAGGGTAGTAGGGTCGCTGTTTGTCTTTGGGGTTTTGTTGGAGAGGGCGACGGGGTTTGTGTTACTTAGTTATTCGCCTGCTCACTCACTCGCTGTTCACGGGTTCTGATATACATACGCAGTACTTAGGTGCGGGTTGGTCTGCTTTTGTTACGGTGGGTGGCTTTGGGCTTGTTTTGTTTTGTTTTATTTTGCGGTGTGTTTATGATGGTATTGGTTTGCTGAGCTTTGGTTTGGGGTTTCGGGTTGTAGTTTTGGGATTCGAGTGTTGTTCTTGGGTTTGTTCTTGGAGTTGAGGAGGTGTGTTGGGGTTGGTGACGACGGCGGTGGCGAGGGATTTATTCCTTCTTTACCACAGTTAGGGGTACATGGACAGAGGAAGGGTGGACTGGATTCGTTAATCTCCCTTATCTGATACATACCGAGCCTGGATGTATCAGGGATGTGGTCGAACAACTAGTAGAAAGATATAGATCTGGCTCGGATCCATCGGCAGCGAGGGAGAATACAAGCCCTTGTCCAGTTGGTATATCCTATACTGTACTTCTCTGTGGTATTTGAACATACCAGATATCATACCGTAGTCTCTAAAGCAGTAGTCAGGACTGCTTCAGGTTTCTTCATCAGAGATCACTATCCCAATCATCTTGCCATCCTCATCAAGCTCTTGATCACCCAAACAGAACCCAGCAGAAACAACCGGAACTTCCTCTGTGCGTGCCCATGCCGCCCCTTTCAATGAGCTCAACGCGCAAGTACAGTATGCAAGTACACAGCCTGTGCTTGGCCGTAACACGACAGTCATGATCTCATCTGGGTTGTACTGTAGACAACGACTACGCAACGCAAGAGATAACACTCGGGTCGGATCGTCGACCAGGCCCTCCTTTCATACCACCAGACTACGGACGGCGGCGCTGATCACCAGATCCCCTAGCCCTAGCCTCATGATCTAGACCAAAGAGAGAAAAGGTCAAGGATACCATCTCTCTTGACCGTTGAGGCGTGACGGGGTTCATTATTGTTTCTTGTCTCAGAAACCTGCCAGAAAACATTAAAAAGCGGATAGCATCACTACATATCTGCAAGGAGCCCGTTGACCGGTTGGAGACCGCATGATCAAAACACTCCCCTCTCCAAAACCTAACGGAAGAGGACATGCACCATGCAGCGCTGGTTACAGGACAATAGGGGAAGCAAAAGAACATTAACCCTTTCCAGAGGCCCTAGTCAATATGACAGTTGCTTGGCTTCATGGCCCTCCTCCCTACCCCAGCGGGCCCTTATTTCGATCAGCAATCTCTCGACCGACATTTCTTGGAAAGGAAAACAGTGACAAGAGATTCGCTCTCGGAGATACCCCTCCTTCCTCTCGATCTGTAGGACCAAGAATGAAAACATCATAGAGCCCCCTACCTAATCTTCAAGCTGGGTTGCCGAGTTGCTCTGCTCTGCCCGTCATTTCTCTCCCCAAAGGGTTGCACAACAACGCATCCAGCGGCTACATGCAGATCACTTCGGAAAGAGCCACGAATCGGGGATTATAAGGCCAAAGTCAACGAGGCAAAGTTCGCCCCTATAGCTGTGAAGAAGGGAGGCTGCTCGTTAGGACATGAGGGGGCGCTACCAGGTCTCTCCCTGCGCCCCCCGTTGCGAGTTAGCCGATGGACCAGCACTTTTCTTTTTCGTTTTTGTAACCCTGAAGGACCACCACCACACCACACTTACCCCGGAAATCATCCACGCCAAATGACGAGGCAGGTAAGGCACTGAGTGGCATAGCCCTTTCCTTTCGGACACTTAGGCTAGATGGAACGACATTCCTCTCAGGGACAGGCGTCACCTTCTCATCTCGCCTTCTTTCCTTTTGGCGGGGACTGGAAAAGGTGTAACAAACAGATCGCATGGCCATCTCGGGTATGCTCGTGTTGGGACGGGCAAATCTCGGTACCCTCGACGGCGAGAGGGTTTGGCGGCCGGCCCACTACATATGCAAGAACCGCACCTGCAATGGAGAGAGAGAGGGCCTGAGCCCATTGCTGTCGTCGATCCAGTCCAGCCTGGTAAGAAAAAAGCTGGTTCTGGGATGTTTCTGCCCCTCACCGACCGACTTGACGCCCTGGACGAGAGATAGGCTGCCTTTCAGGCACGATTCACGAAAGCCCGAGGCACTGCAGGGCAATTGAAACCGCGCCTCCCGACCCCTCCCTAGACCGACTATAGGCTGCGCTGGTGTCATCCTAACGGTTTCACAGCTGGTCCCAATCGGGAACGAACGATACCCTCATCCCATTCGGGGATTGGCCCTCTGGCAACAATCACGAGATAACAACACGACTGGGACTGGGACTGGGCACGAGTGGCATCCTGAACAGCACATCTGCTGAGAAATTTATAGAAACAGAAGGCTTGCTGTCTTGTCGTCTTTGGCCTCGTTTCCTCGTCCTTGTTGGCAGCAGGTGCATCGATGGTCTCGTTGGTATCACCGTGGTCCCTGTCACAGGAAGAGACAACTGGAGGAAAAGGTAGGGCCTAGCTCCTGAGGGAAGGCAACAGATTAAGATAAAGACCAAGGACTCCTTGACCTCCGCGTGAAGAATCGCTCTCGAGCCCACTCCGGCCGCCCTACTTTCTGTCCTTTCTCTGTCTGTGGGAGAAACAAAAAAAGCTTCTCGCACAATCTTCGGTTCTCATCCTCTCTCCCTCCCTTCATAGACGGGGAAAAATCAAGAAGTTACTTCCACACACTCGACAAAGAAGCCCCTCATCTGACAAAGCTCTCTTGACTTCATTGGCTTCTTGTTGCCCTTTGGCCTCTTTCACCACTTGACCATTCGTGATACTCTCTCATTCTCTCTGTGTGTCTCTCTCTCCTCTGAATCGCAAGTCGACCCGCCATGCCACCCAAGGGCATTTACCAGACTGCTCTCCCCGAAGCACGCGGGCTGAAGTATGACGAATCCGATATGGCTCTCTTTCACGCCAAGCTCTCGTACCATTCTACCATCGAAGCCCGCATGGCATCCAAGGACTCCAACCTAGCATCGATCTCGGACGCTCAGGCGCGGATTCTCAAGCGCTGGGAGATGCTAAAGCAGGTGGAAAAGGAGATGGCCGACAAAGGCAAATGTCTGTCTCCCGCGGAAAGAAAGCAGCTGGCTCAATACGAGTGGCGATATAAACGATTGGAGGAAGTGGCCACTCAGAGCACCAGCTGAACTGAAACAGTAAAAAGAACCTATAGCATCGGATCGCGAGTCGAGAAGGGAAGATAGCATCACAGGCGTTGGTTTAGATGTGGATTCGAACAGCGCACTGTTGTTCAGGTCGTTTGCAGTGCGAGCTGTTGTCCAAAAGTGGTCTTCAAATCTCCCATCTGCTTTTCTTTTTTTCTGCTTTGTTTTTCTGTTTGTCTGGCTTTTTAACTCTCCTCTCATTCTGTCCGTTTGAGTTGAATCAATTTTAATCATCTCTGTTCCAACCTCTCACTCTCAGTCATACTTGATGAGAGTTCCCAAGTGCACTGACTCTCGTAAGCCATGCAAGCACAAGCAATGACCTCAGGCCCCAAAGCACCCACACACTTGTGACCAGATCATAACCCAAGGTAGACAAGCTAAGATCCCCTTCGCATACCTCACCGGGAAGGCAAAAAGAAAATATGAAAAAGAAAAGAGAAATCCCCGCGACGTCACCCATGTAACCTCGCCTCTCCGGCAGAACACAGCATTGCACTGCAACTGTAACCAGAAGCAAAGCCACCCTCCCTCCGCCACTTGTAGATCAAGTACAGTACCTCCACTGAGATCGATCAGGCTTATTTATCAGGTTAAGAAAAAGAGATATACCCAAAAAAGAAATGGTGGTAGGGTCCAAGCCCCGTCACGTTCACTTTCTCTTTTTTTGTTCCCATCTTCCCATCTTCTTTTGCTTCATTAGGGAGAGTCACTCAAACTCCTTCAACGGTCGTCCTCCATCTCCAGTGTCCTACATTGGACACGCGACATACCATCTTGGGTTAGAAGCCCTGCCACGAATCACAAATCCAGAATCCAGGTTAGCAGCTAGTGTAGTGTCGTGTGTTTTGACACCCACCTCCACACCAGAGTTTAGCTTCCTCGGGTCTTAGGTCGATAACCGATGCGACACATGCGTTCACATCTCCCACCACCTCTTGCATCGAGGGAGGGGGTTTATCCGAGAAGATGGCGGACGAGGGGGGAGGGGGCCGGGCGACAGCGCTTTGCGGTGAGGATCGAGGAAGAGGCTGTTTGTTTGGAATAACCGCAAGTCCTGGCCACACACATAACGAGAATTGTTCCGAGGGAGGTTGGAGAGTTCTCGTGAATGTGCTTCCCCTCTCTGGAGAAGAGAACAGTTGGAAATTGTTGCCCCTCGGAAGGGTGCGAACGTCGGAGACCTCCGAACGGTTGCGATGGAGAAGGAGAGGGAGAGGTGGGTGGGCCCGATTGCTGCTGGGTGGGTGGGTTTGACAGCTTGTATACATGGTGACAGACGGGGGTTCATATCTTGCTGTCGAGATGGGTGAGCCATTGAGTAGAAGCTGTGAGAGGCAGCAAGCTAACCTACCAGTATAGTCAACAGAATGACCCTGTCGAATGCAGAAAAGAGGAAGTCGAAGATAGGGAAGATCTCAAGACATGGAGGGGAAGAGCGGAGGCGATGAAGCGATAAGATCGAGTAATGCGGGAAAATCGGCGGGGCGCGTTTCTTATCGGCAAGCGTTTTCCCCTCCTGACCTCATTCTATAAGAGACATCATCGTCCTCTGGATTGTTTTTCGAAACTTCTCTTCAATTTCCTCCCACCGAATCCTCTTTCTCTCTCGCACCCCCTTCTTTTCTATCCCCACTAGTTCTCTCTCACACAGTCAAGCAAAGAAACCGACCAACCTCCACCATGGCCACCGAACTTCCCTACATTCCCGGTCCGGAAATCGACACGACCTTCGCGCACACGACCAATCTAGCCTCGTCCGCGCTCAACTCACGCATCCTCACCTGCTCAAACGAATACTTCGCCGCAGCATCGAACCTGCTCACGCCGACACCACCGATCAACCGGCCAGGCGTGTTCATCCACACGGGTGCCTGGTACGACGGGTGGGAGACGCGGCGGCACAACCCGGAGCCGTACGATTGGGTGGTGATCAAGCTGGGCACGGCGCGGGCTGCGATCCAAGGCATCGAGATCGACACAGGGTTCTTCGTAGGCAACTACGGCGAGAAGGCCGAGGTGCAGGCGACGTACGCGCCTGCGCTCGCTGACGACGAGGTCGCCGACCCCAACTACCCCGGATGGACCACCATCCTGGCGCCGCAACCCTGCGGTCCGTCGCAGCGCCGCGCCTGGAAGCTCCCCAACTACGACCCCGCCAACCCCCAGCCCTACACCCATGTGCGTCTACTCATGTACCCCGACGGCGGGTTCGGGCGGTTGAGGCTGTACGGGCATGCGATCCCGCCCGCCCGCGAGGTGATTGCCGCTGCAGGGGCGCAAGGGGTGGAGGAGGAGTTGTCGTCGGCGCTGTTGGGCGGGTTGGCTCTCGCGGCGTCTGATCAGCATTACACGCCCTGCTCGAATCTGCTGCTACCGGGTCGCGGAAAGGATATGGGCGACGGGTGGGAGACGGCTCGCTCGCGCGCCCCAGGCCATGTCGACTGGGCTATCATCAAGCTGGGGCTGCCGGGCTCCGTGGCCAGAGTGGTGGTTGATACCAAGGACTTCCGTGGGAACTTCCCGCGCGCTATCCGGGTGCATGGTTTGGTCCAGGGCGAGGAGGCGAAGGGTCAGGTCGCCGTGCCCGCCCATGACCACCCCGGTTGGGTCGAGATTGTTAAGCGCGATCGCCGCTGCCAGGCTGATACCGAGCATGTCTTCCAGGGCGAGGATCTGGCTGCTGGGGTTGACGCGCAGGCGTTCACCCATGTCAAGCTTACGCTCGTGCCGGACGGCGGGGTGAAGCGTTTCCGCATCTTTGGAAGACGGGCCTGATTTTTGTGAGTGGCGTGTTGTCTTTTCTAGTATATACTTCTTTAGCACGACAGATGCAGTAATGAAAGATACGATTCAATAATACGGCTGGAACTGAGTCTTATACTTGAGTAGTGTCATGATCATCCGAAAGAGCATATTTTCCATTTGCGGATATACACACCTACCCAAACTGACAAAGTATAGACCTCACTCAGCCTGAAGCATCCTCGCCCTTACCCACTAGGAGAGATAGTAAACACACAAGACTAAATCATTGAACATACCGCGTAAGTAACCAGCAAACTACACCTTTCACCCCACCCCCAAGCAAAGACTCTTTCTAGTCATACAGCACACTCAAGCTTACCCTCATCCTCTCCCCAGCGCCAGCACCAAACCCATGAACCCAACCAAGCCCATACCATCTCAACCCACTCCCAAAAACCAGAACTCCTCATGCACACCGATAACATCCCTAACCAGAACGCACACACCCTGAACACCACTCAATAACAAAACGCACGCACACACAAGACGATACACAAACCCGAATCCATGAGACCCCAAAGCGAAAGCACCACACATCTTAGTAAATCACTTAATCCATCGACCCGATAACCACCCATCGGTCCCGAACAGAAACGATACGTTGTCATCCTGCTTCAAGCCTACACAACCGCATCAGCTCAGCATCACGCCCCTCACCCCAGGCTGAGCGAAGAAGAGAGGAAGAGGAGAAGGAACATACATCATTGAAAATACCGCGGAATCTGCGGCGAGCGTCTCTGGCTTGGGTCACGCTCCACGGCCGTGTGGTCGAAGTGCACGTGGCTGTTGGAGTCGGTGCGTGTGGAGCGGGGGCGAGTGCTGTTATCGCTGTTGATGCTACCGTTGGTGTTGGTAGTGCCGTTGGGTACCTCGCTCTGCTGCTCCTGCTGATGGTAGCCATCGGTAGTGGCACTGGCAGAGTCGCGAACATACACGGCCGAGCCAGCCATCTGCTCTGACGTAGATAACAGAATCGAGCTAGGGAAGAAGGCGACCTCGACGCGGCCCTCCTCGCTAGGGGAGCGGCGCACGTCGCGCGGCGCATAGTTATCCAGGAATAACACCCAGGGATCAGCGGGGATGCGGTCACCGGCGCGGGCGACACCGCGCAGGATCAGCAGACGGTACATCAGGCGCTCGAAGTTGATCCAGTCGAGGCCGTAGGGGCGGTGCGAGATGCCGTGGGCGTCGGTGTGGGTTTGTAGGATGGCGAGGAGCGCGCTGTAGGTGGCTCGCTCTTCTGGGGTGAGGGATTTGTTGGCCATTTTGTTTTTGTCTTAGGCAGTGGGATGATGGGGAGTGAGGTGAGAGATGGGTGGGTGAGTGTACTTGGTGTGATGATTTGTGAGGTGCGGTGAGGTGGTGTTTGGGTGAGTGATGGTGGTGAGGTTAAGTGTCTGTGTGAGTGGGTGGATGGTGTTGTGGATAGGGGGTGGGCTGGGTGGGAGATTGGCTCCTGTATCTGATAGTTGTTTTGGGAATAGTGGCATCGTGTTGTGGCTGGTCTTAAGGCGGGATTGGGAAATGAATTGAAGGCAAATTGATGGTATCGTGGGATTACATGGTGGAAGATGTCGCGAAGTATACCCCCGATATCTGATAACGAGACTATCCTGACTTCCCCCGCATTTGTGAACCGAGAACAGATCCGCGTGAGGGGTGCGGAGTACTTGATAAGAGCACCGCTGTTCACCCCGGGCTGGCTTTCTCCTTCTCTTCTCTTTCTCTCTCTCATGTTAAGAGTCCCGAGCTCGAAATGCATGCAAAGATAGAAGAACCCCCAAAGATAGTGCTTAGCGGCACTCCGCGAGAAGTATGTCCACCCACCCTTCTCTCAGTATCTCCAATTTTCTCATGACTGTCTCAGATCGGCCTGCAACATGGCGAACAGCTCCAGTCCCAGATCAAGAATCAGCTGGCCGTCTACGGAGCTATGTTCCAACACACCTCCAAGATCTCGTGGGACGCTGTGCTCGACCTGGCGGAGGAGTTCCGCGCCACACTCGCGCAGTCCACCCCCGACCTCCTGGCCGAAATGCAAGGCATCGCAGACGGGGCCGGTGTCTCCCTCCTTGATATCGTCGCCCTGAACTGCCGCAGTGAGATTTCATTTGGCAAGTTCTCCGACGGGTGTACGAGTCTCTCGCTCCATCGCCAGGGGCGAGGCCGCATCCTCGCGCAGAACTGGGATTTCACCACCCAAGTGCAGAAGAATCTTGCCTTAGTGGAGATCGTCCAAACAGACAAACCCGTCATTTACATGGTCACTGAGGTAGCGTTTTGCTTGCATTGTTCTTATCCTTGATCTTTCGACTACACTCATACTGACTGCCAACAGGCCGGTCTCGTCGGCAAGATCGGCTTCAACAGCGCCGGCGTCGGCACCTGTCTCAACGCAATCCGCGCCCATCCCTGTCTCAGCTCCAAGCTGCCCATCCATATCGCCCTGCGTCTGTGTCTGGAAAGTGTCTCCGTTGAGGCTGCGATACAGAAACTATCTTCCCTGGGCGGCGTCGCCTCCAGCCAACACATTCTCATCGCAGACAGCACTGTCGCCCTTGGGTTGGAGCTCTCGCCACTAGGGGACGATCATATCGCTGAAGACGAATATGGGATGATTACCCACACGAACCACTTCCTACTTAACCGGAAGGTCATCGAGCCGCCGTGGCTCTCCGGGTCGCCGGTTCGGTTGGCCAGGGTGCGTGAGCTTGCGAAGGAGATTGTAGACAGTGGGGTCCTCGAGGAGGACAATGTCGATATCGTTGGTACGGTTCTTCGAGGACGAATCTTCTCCGATACGTGTGACGGGCCGCAGTCGATATGCTGGCAGGAGGATCCGACCCAACCATCAATTGTCCGGACGGCGACGTTGTTCAACATCGTGATGCGGTTGGAGGAGGGGAATCTTGGGGCGGAGGTTGTGTTCGGCAAGCCGGGTTCGGGGTTGGAGAGTTCTGTGGTCGAGGTGCCGTGGCGATGACCACGGAGATTAGCACCATATCGCGGTTGTTTCTTTGATGCGAAAGGAGAGGAGAGAACAGCACGATGGTTCATTCTTTGTGTTCATGTGGTGGAGGCTTCATAGTGGAGGAATCCGCTCACCCGAGTTTTTGAGAATCTTTCACCATGCAAAACACAAAGGTGCTGGTTAGAGAATCTCCCTGCAACTCTACGCAATGCCTTTTATCGCTTCGATGCAACCTATACAAAGAGTCTATGAAATTGACGGTAAATGTTGTTTTCCCAAGCATCAAACCATGTTCGTGTTCTCGATACTCGCAGCTATATAAGCAGCTCTCAAGTCTCGACGAGACTGATTGTGATTCTGATTAACATCCCATCTATACATCTTCTTGATATACTCTCAACTCGTGACACCGGCACTAAAACTCGAGATCCGACTTCACCATGTCTACGGGAAGAGCTCATGTTCACTTCGACGAGAAGGAGTGCCTCAGCACGAAGTCATCTCATGCTTCGCCGGCCCGGTCTCCGACACCGAGCCCCGGGGCTTTTCTGCAGAGTATCGAGACGCCCGTCGACCAAGTGGTCCCTCTAGAGGCCACTTGGGCAGAGCATTTTAAGAAGCACGCCGTGCCAAGAAAGAAGAGCCCGCCCGTGCCACCTCGCCCCCAGAAGGTGAATCGCCCTCAGAAGGCAGCCTCTCAGAAGTCCACTGGGACGAAGGACTCTACCAAGGGCAAGGCCACGAATTCCCCCTACCAAGTTGTGCCTCTTGAGCGCACTTGGAGTGAGCACTTTAGAAAGCATGCAGCGCCGAGATCGCCGCGGACCAGGTCTCCGCAACTGAGCCGCTGCATTTCGTCTTATGAGAAGTGTGACTATCACCACGGGGATTTCACGCCCGGGGTGAGTGGAAGTCCTCCCAAGGAGGTCTTGGAGTGGGGGGCCGCTCAGCCCACACCTCTGAAGGATCTCATTGAGTTTGACGATGACAGCTCTGTGTCAGTGTCACAGTAGGCTGAATTCACCTAGAAGATGGTTGCGGTTTGTACTGTTGTTGTTGTGGTACTGACTGAACCTTACTTTCCTTCCTTATCTCAATAGCTTATCTCTCAATCAAAGAAAACAGCGATTTCCCCGCAGCAATTCATCATTTCGCTCTCCACATTCGTCATTGTTCGCTTGTCTGACATATAAACTGTAGGCCATTGGCCACTTTCCTCTGGATTCGATTTCATATTTCCTATCTTTCCTATATTCCCCAGATCTTGTAATCAGCAGTTGCATTTTGTCTTCCTTTCATCTATCATGGCCTCCGCAACAGGCGTCCCCGAGCTTCATCCGGACAGCATCGATTCCCGCGAAGACTCGCCTTTGTTGTCCACTCCCGGCAACCAGGCCCAGTCCGACGACACCGATGCGTTGTATCGCAATCTCTTCAAGGGTGTGTATTCCATCATTCTCACAGACAATACATCTACTAAGCTAGATCTTCTCTAGGTACTGCCCTCGCCGCGCAAGTAGGCATCTGGCTGGTAGGCCCACCACGATGAAGTCATCCATCCGGTCGCCAATCTAACAATCTCCTTCAAACAGATCGCCATCCTCGTCTGGACCGGCATCTTCTCGCACCCTCTCATCTTCTTCTCCGCCCATCCAGTAAGTTCCCCATCTCCCCACTCTCACCAATATCCATAAAATCCTAACCAACCCCCAGCTCCTCAACTCCGCCGCCCTCCTCCTCCAAGTCCAAGCAACCCTCATCCTCCAACCCACCGCGACCGCGGCCCAGAAACGCCGCGGCACCATCGCCCACTACACGATCCAGGCCCTCAGCATCCTGGGCTTCCTGGCAGCCTTCCTCATCATCGAGATCAACAAGGGCGACCACGCGCGATTCACCTCCCCGCACGGCGTGCTGGGCCTGATAACCTACATCGTGATCATCCTGCAGGCCACCGTCGGCGTGGTGCAGTATTTCCTCCCCGTCACGGTTCTGGGTAGTGTCAACCGCGGCAAGAGTCTGTATAAGTACCATCGGCAGTCCGGATATCTGCTGCTGGTGCTGGAGCTGGCGACGGTGGCTGCGGCCACGCGCACGGCGTTCAATGTTAATGTGCTGGGGATTCCGCTGGCGGGGGTGCTGGTTGGGGCTGTTTTGGTTGTCGCGGGCGCTGGGGCGCGGGTGAGGAAGCATAAATTGGGGTATTAGGTGGAGGTTGTCATCAGGAGGTAGGTGTTTGTAAAAGGGGAGGAGTGGGATATGAAAAGAGTCTGCATTGGATCGGTTGACTTGGTTACTGTATTGTTCGAGACAGCATTAGTTGTTAGTGTGCATAGTATGTCATGGTCAATCTTCGATGCTCAGCCGCTGTCGAATGGCTATCCCCGTACTCAAGCTGGTTATATATGAGCTTGTCGATTGGAGCATTGGGATTCTCCCTTTTTCGAATATTCAAGTCCAAATCGAAGCCATTCGAAAGTCGATAAACTATGAATCTGCCGATAAGATAGTATACTGCCCGATTGGGAAAAGTGGTGCGGCCCGTCAATTCTTCTCCGCCGATCTTCCAATCTTCCATCTTTAACTCCCCGAACTTCCTCTTCCTCTTCCTCAACTTCATCTCACCCACCCAGCCTTTCAATGGCTCCTCCAAAACCTCCCTACATCTGCCTGAAATGCAGGCCCCTTAGTCGGCGAACTTTCTCCTCCTCCGCCCGTCATTCGCAAGATGTGCGACCGCCGACCGCGCCCAAACCCACGCTGGACCTGAAGCACATCCGCCTGAACCCCGAGCTATACGCCCAGAACTGTCGCGACCGCAACTACCCCACGCATGCACAACACCCCTTCACCATCCAGCAACTGTATGAAGAAATCGGCGAGATCACCGTGAACCTGCGAACGCCGCGGGCCGAGATCAAGAAACTGGAGCAAGCCATCGCGCAAGTGGTCGCCGCGGAAGCGAAGAACAACAACAACCAAGGCGATGGGGCCACCGCCGCCGAGACAAGCATGTCCCGATTGCGCGCGGACGCCGCCCGGCTGCGACAAGCCTTCCACGGGATGACCACGCGCCAGCAGGAGTGCGAAGACGAGATGCAGCGGCTGGCGCTGTCGCTGCCCAACCTGTCCTCAGAATCGACCCCGGTCGGCGATTCGCCAACCCTAATCTCCTACCTCAACTTCGACCCATCCTCCCCGCTGCCGGACTGGGCCACCAGGCCGGATCCCACGCGCTCCCATGTCCACATCGGCACGACGCTGGGCCTCTTGGACTTCACCAGCTCAGCCACGACCACCGGCTGGGGGTGGTACTTCCTCACCAACGAAGGCGCACTCCTCGAGCAAGCCCTGATCCAATACGCACTGACGGTCGCGCGCCGCCACGGCTGGAAACCCGTCTCGCCGCCATCGATCGTCTACTCACACATCGCCGATGCCTGCGGCTTCCAACCCCGCGACCAACACAACGAACAACAGATCTTCACCCTGGAGCAGGCAGAGAAGGACCGCAGCAGCAGCGGGGCCAAACCGCAGCGCGCACTAGCCGGCACGGCCGAGATCCCACTGGCCGCGATGCACGCGAGCCGGACCTTCGAAGCGAGCGAGCTGCCGCTCAAACTCGTAGGACCGAGCCGATGCTACCGCGCGGAAGCGGGGTCCCGGGGCGTGGACACGAAGGGCCTGTACCGCGTCCACGAATTCACCAAAGTGGAGATGTTCGCCTGGGCGGACTCGCTCGCCGACGGCTCACCCTCCTCCGATGACCTCTTCGCCGAGCTCCTAACCATCCAAACCGAAATCTTCCGGTCCCTGGGCCTCCCAGCTCGCATCCTGGAAATGCCCACCACAGACCTAGGCGCCAGCGCCAGCCGCAAGCGCGACATCGAAGTCCTGTTCCCGTCGCGCGTGCGCGCTGCCCCCACTGCCGCCGACGCCCCCGCCGCTACTGCAGCAGTAGCAGGACTGGAATCCGCCTGGGGCGAAGTAACCTCCGCCTCGATCTGCACAGACTACCAAAGCCGCCGGCTCGCGACCCGCGTGCGTGGCGGCGGCGCTGCTGCTGCCTCCGGCAAGGACGGCAAGAAAACGCGCTACCCGCACACGGTCAACGGTACTGCTATGGCCGTTCCGCGTGTGCTGGCTGCGCTGCTGGAACATGGTTGGGACCCCGCGAGGCAGGTGGTGGTTGTTCCTGAGGTGTTGAGGCCTTGGATGGGCGGGATTGAGGTTATTGGTGCGCAGGAGAAGTAATTTTCATCCCGTCGACTGGTTATACTTAAGTCGAAGCGAGTATGCCAGGAGGCTGAAAGGAAGGGGGGTCCGGGGGTTCTCCCCCGGGTATGTTGAGTTGGGGTTGGTGGGAGTGAGTGGGTTGTGGACCAGGTAAGGAAAGTAAGGTATATCCTGTGCTTTTGCTACTGGGACATGAAACATGAGTATAAATTATGGGTGCGTGTGTAGTGTAGTGGAGTGTCTGTAGATTATTGCCAGTGTACGATAGAATATGTCCGGAAATAATTCTCTTGACTTTACTTTCTTCTTCCTCTTTTAGCGCATTGTATGTGTTGTTGAATCTACTGAGAACGAACGTGGACGTGCGGAATTTGAGTTGATCCAGAATCTACGACCGCCCGGCATTGACATGTTCCCTTCTTTGTCTGGATTGGTTGAGCTGGTGGAACACTGCTATGGTACGTCTGGTATAGTCTCATAAACATATCCAGCAAACCAGTCAATCAACTATTCCCCATAGTATAGCAGCAACAAACGTATTCGATTCATAACATCATCACACATTGACTAGATGGAGGTGTGTAGGGACATCAATCATAAAGTGAAGCAGTAGACTAGAAACCTCGAATAGAAAGAAAGAGACAAAACCATAAAAAGCATACAAACATAGACCTCGTATCCGTATATCTCGTAGAAACCATAGACCATAAACCATAATCAAGACGAAGAAAACTATTTTCAAGTACCGGGTATCGAAGGGAAATAGCAAAGGTGGCTTGTTGTGCGATGGAAGGATGGGAGCTAAGAAAAATGTGTTGAAGAAGTATGTTGTGGTTGTCGTAGCGTAGTAATTCTTGGTCTTTTGGTATGTTGCACGTGGTTTGTCAGGGGGCAGGCCTGATCACTCCCATGGAATATCCTCGTCTTCGACCTTGGTGCAGGTCAGATATGGTAAGCTACCCTCACTACTACTGCCGCTGCCGCTGCCGTTGTCTTTTAGGTCTAACTCGAGGAAGTTCCGCATCAACGGCTTGACGATTTCGCGGGCCAGCCGTTTGATTTCGTCCATTTTGCGCTCGAATCGTTTCATGACGTCGCGGTTGTACAGGGCCTCGGCGGAAGGCGTGGGGTGGACTTTGAGGAAGCGTTTGAGGTCGTCGTGGGCGAGATAGGCCTGGCTGGAGGAGGAGCCGATCAAGCGGTAGATGCGTGCGGTGGAAAACGGGGGCGCGACGGAGGGTTGGCCACGGGAGGAAGATGAAGGAAGATTGGAGGTGGATCGGTGGTGACTGTGGCCGTGGCCGTGGTGATGGTGACTGGGATGTGTCGATGTGTTCTTGAGGATGGGGGGCGGAGGCGGAGTGGTGCTGTCGACGAACCATTGCCGGAACAAGGAGACGGCCAGCCAGTCAAGGTAGGCGTTCGTCGGGCTGACGCGCTCGCCGCGCGAGGTGGTCAGGGTTAGACGGAGGAGCTTGGAGTCGACGCGCGCTTTCAGGTCCTCGAGATCCTCGACCTTATCCTCGATGATATCGAGGACCGCATTCGGCAACGGCGAGTAGCTGCCGTTGCGCAGGTGCGGCACAGCGGCCGGCCATTGTCCAACTACGTGGATCAGTGCCTCGGAAAAGATGACCCGGCTTCGTGCCATGTAGCCCAATTTGAGGTAGCTGGGGGGATACTTGGCGATCTGTTTGAATAGCCGCGACCCGAATCCCAGGAGGTGATGGTCCACCCGTGGGCCAGTGACAGGGAGTGCATCGTACATGTCCGCCAGGGCGAGCAGAGCCCGGCATTCTGAGTAGGCAGTCGCGATATTGACGCTGTTAATCATCGGCGGGTAATTGTAGAACATGCGGAACAGATTGTCGTAGTCACGAATGGTGGGATCCACTGGCGGGTTCGACGTACTGTTCCTGTGCGGAAGAACCACCGCCGACTGCATCCCTGCCAGGTTGGCCATGGAACGAACAAATCCCGTCTGTGTGTTGGAAGGCTTTGTCACCGAGGGGGGATATTGTCCAGGTTCACACCCGAATGCGCTAGAATAGCTAGGCGGCTTGAATACATGTTAGACGAGGCAAAATGTAGGGGGAGTGCTGCAAACAAACCTTTTGAACCAGGATAGGATCCTCATCCTCGGCCTTATTCTCCCAGTCAAGCTCGTATTTCCAACGCCTCTTCTCCAAAGACCATGACGACCCTCCGCTCTCTGACTGAGCCAGGGTCGAGCCATTAGACAATGAAGAATTGTCGCTGATTCTCGACAGAAGACCGGGGTCCGGGTTCGACGGCCTCGACGGTGCTTGTGGTGACCACCCATCCCGAGTGCTAGCCTCGAAAAACCCAGAGCATTGCGTCAAAATCAATCGATGGAGTAGGTAGCGTTGCTCCTGGCCCCCGGCGCGAATCACGATTTCGACATCACCGGTGTGAGTAAAGATGGGAAATTCGTTTTGGGGCTGATGAGTTAGCCCGCCATGGTGAGAGCGACTCGAGCGATGTCGTCGGCTGGAGTGCGAATGCCGTGACGCGGAGGAGAGCGTACTCTGCGCCGGGATGGAACGATCGAGAACTTGAGCTTGCGAGACCATGTCGATGGAGGTAACCGTGGTGGTGGCTTTGGAAGACCGGGTAAACATCGTCCGAGCGAAACGCGCAATGACCCAGCAGACCCCAACTCGAGCGGCGTTTGTGAGTGTGGGCTGTCATCCAAAACCCAGCGAGACGCGCGCCGCCAGGGAAAGTTTCCCAGCTGCGAGAGGAATGCTGAGCGACGCGCGACAATCACCGACCTGACCGACAAATGGATGTGGCTGCGAGTGTCTGCGAGTGGCGGCGGGTTTTCCGCTGTTGATCCCCCGCGATAACGACACGGACCACTTCGGGGATTAATCTGGGAGATAAAGAAGGACTAGAATTGGGGTACAATCGAGGAGATGAATAGCAAGTGATCGGCGAAGAAGAGAAACCACCCTGACAGAAGAATCACAGCCAGTCCACTTCATGCGACAAGGGATGCAGCCAAAGCGCAGACGGTGTAGCCGCTGCTGCAGGTGGAATGAGCAGATCAGAACTGGTTGAGAGCACAAGGATGGCTGACGGGACCAGACACATTGCAAGCAGACAGAGTATAAGACTGACAGACTCACAGTCAGACAGACCGAGTACCTGTGAGTGCCGGTCGCCAAGGCTCACCAACCGGGCAAAAACGAGAGACCCCTGAAAATGAAGCCAAAGTCAAGCGTTACTCGAGGGGGAGGCAGGGAAATGGATGGTGTTGACCGGTTGATTGGCTGGGCCATTCAGAGCCGGATCACGGGTGAGTGTGCCTGCATGGCTTGGTCTTGCTGGGAAGTACTAAGCAGGTTAGTTCCTTGCTCCAGTTGCAATAATCCTCGATTCGAATGGAAGACCAGCATCGCACCCCTAGACGTGGAATAAGATGCTATCCCCTCGAGATCCGGCGGTTTCTCCCAGTCTCTCCTTCTATTGTTCTTTTGCCCTCGACAGGCAACATGTGGTTTGTTTTGTTTGTTTTGTTTGCGCCTCTGCCGCCCTGTCCGCGTGACACGCTAACCCCATCCGACTAGCTCGTCTTCCCACCAATCAGCGACGTGGCATGCCTGAGGTTCTACACGAATCTCGCCGCTCGGCCTTGTCTTATCTTCGATTTCCCCCCTCAATGAATCATCTCCTTGTGTCATTCATTCCTTTGCTTCCACCACTCCTCCTCCATCATCTGATTCTCGATCACCCCGCGAAGCAATGCTCCCGACTTCTATCTTCCTCGGTTGAAAGCTCATTCCAATGATGTCGAGCCTCGTGCTGAGATCCCCACTTCGAGTAGTCCGGTTTAACGACGGATCTGTTAACGCCAGAACAGTGACGAACTTCCCCTGCGCACCGCCTCACACGCCTGGAGGAAAACCATGACCAAGGGCTGCTATACCTGTCGTCGCCGCCGTATCGTGTGCGACAATGGCCTACCCACTTGCCGCAAGTGTCGTGATGCGGGGAAGGAATGTTTGGGCTACCAGAAGCCCCTCGTCTGGGTCAAAGGAGGCGTTGCCAGCCGGGGTAAAATGATGGGTCGCAGCTACGATGATGTCGTGAAGACCACTTCCAATCGCAGACGCGAGGCCGACTCCAACTCCTCGTCTCCTTCTTCAACGGACTCGCCTTGCCCGATCGGCCCCGCACTTCCGCCAGACATCAGCCGGTCTGATCTGTCGCACGAAATCAACGATCTACCGGTAATCAATATCGAAGCTCACGACCATAGCCTGGCTTTACAGAGCGCGTTTCGCCCTCTCGACTACATCCCCGCGCCCTGGGGCCTAGTGGATCCGTTGTTCAAGGATCTAGATGGTCTGTCGAGACAATACATTGTCCATTGTACGTGATGAGCATCCGTCCGGTGCCAGTCTGATACTGACCATAATCAAGTCAATGAGTACGCCACTGGCTGCCTGACTCTCTATCCTCACGGCCAGAACCCGTACCGCGACTTAATCCCTTTAGTCGGTGGCTCCTCTCTCCTCGCCCATGTCCTTTCCGCCACGGGTGCTTTACACTACGCCATTCTAGCTAACGAGGACTTCTCCCCCGGACCTTGGAACGCGGAGGGCGCAGCCACGGGAGCATTGCTATCGACCGAGGACCTAGAGGAAGCCGTGGTCGGGTCCCTGTCGCGCCGACCCGCGTCGAGAGTTTACGAGCATTTTCTCGGATTCAAACAGCGGGCGTTGCAGCAGCTCTCGCAAGACATCCAGGATCCCGTCATGCGTCATGACAACCGAACCCTAGCGGCGACCATGCTATTTGCGCTGATGGATGCAATCGAGTCCGGCGACGGGGCGTGGAAATACCACCTAGAAGGGGCCAAGAGACTGCTGAACGGCCGCGAACAAGGACACGACGACAACCGCGCAAAACCGCAAGGGCTCGTCTCCTGGCTAGACGACTTTGCCATGGACGGCATTCTCATGTACGTTTTATACTCCTCGGTTATTGTTCGCATTACTGACGTTGACCCCAGGATCCAACTGATGGGCTCCACGCTCGCGCGACCAGGCTCCCTGACGCGACCATTCTACACCTCGAACATGGGGCCCGCGGTGCTGGAGCGGCTCGAGAAGACCTCATGGGTCGGCTGCCCAGGCTACCTCTTGGAAGTGATCTTCCTGATCCACGCCAGCCTATACATGGAGCACGACACGCACGACCACTCGCCAGAGTCCTCACCATCACCATCACCATCATCCCCAAGCCGCAACCTCCCAAGAATGATCTTCACCTCCCCACACCTCTCCGCCGACACCAACCCCTTACAAAACCCAGAAGCACTCCTCGCACACATCCAAGCCTTCGACCCAACCGCCTGGGCCCAATCAATGCAAACCTTCCTCCACCTCCCCGACCTCTCAATGCGCACGGCACTAGCAACAATCTACCAAGCGGCCGTCTACCTCTACGCCAGCCGCGCGCTATCCCGGCCGCGTCACAGCGCTCCCTCAACCTCCTCCTCCTCCTCTCCAAGATCCCCGAAAACGAACTTCGGCCTCCCATCCAACCACGCCACCATCGCCAACCTACTCATCCACCAGATCGCCCTCATCCCGATCTCAGACCCGCACTTCAAATGCCTGATTTGGCCCACCTTCATCGCCGGCGCCGAATGCGCAGACCCCGCCCTCCGCCCGTTCCTGCTTGAGAAACTCCGTGTCCTGTACTATGATCTCACGAGCGTGAATGTTCGCAATGCGGCTTGGGTGTTGAGTTTGATGTGGCGGAAGCGTGATCAGAGGGTTGCGGAGCGGAGGCTGAGGCGGCAGCAACGGCAGCAGCAGCAGCACCACCACCACCAGCAGGGGAACAAAGAGTCAAGTGGCTGTGCACTTCTTCCATCTCGCGCGGACCTTGGGATTCACGATGTATATACTGATGACGCCCACGATAATGATTCTTATGATGATGATGATGTTGATGAGGCCGAGGAGGATGAGGATGACGACGACGACGACGGGGATTTCGATTGGATCCAAGAGCTGGATGCCTCGCGGATTGATTGGTTGTTTATTTAGTTTCTTCGCTGAGTACTTATTACAGTACTACTGGGGCGTTGGACTGCGGAGGGAGGAATCAGCGGACCTTGGAGTCGAGGCGGGAGTTTTGGGATTGATGAATTAACGTTATAGCGGATACCTGGTGGATGGATGGATGGGTGGGTGGGTGGGTTTATTTGCATGCTGGTGGTCCAAGACCACCAGTGTTATACTTCTTTGTATATATCATCTGAATGGAGTACAAATTTCTATCATCCATGGGCGGGTCTGTCGGTATAAGACGGAAGTAAGATATATATTCCAGAGGTTTAGAAATCTAGTGCCTACGTACCATGAAATATCATCAACGAGCGAGCACTTATACACCGAATACAGTTTCATTGTATTTGCACTTGAACACTATTATTAGGTTCGTCCTGAACATGAAGAAGATTCCCGGGACAGGAACAGGCGGTGGACGGAGTAACATGCAGAAGAAAGCCCCATGCGCCATGCAGTAATGACGCTGGGTCCTGGCGCGGCGCCAAACCTGCGTGAAAGAAATGATAGATGGATTGAGATGAACCCCGGGCGGATGCTGTACTCTATGGCACGCTCCTCGCCCTCCGACATCACGACGATCTATGGATCTCGAGATCCTGGATCTCACCAGGTCAAAGAATATATATCAGAAATGAAAAGGCTATCGCGCAAGATAGATTGATGCGATCGAAAGTAGAAAAACGGCCAGATGAGGGATATATATGCATACTCCTTCCCATCTAAATGCAACAATCTCAACAGGGGACAAAAATGGAAACAAAACGCTCATCGTTGCACAGATGCAAGGCAAAGGACACACAAATGAAAACACATCACAAGAGAGATTCTTACACGAGATGCTAACAAAGGAAATGACGAGTCGCTGGCTAGAGTGTATGACTGAGTGTCCTGCGATAATCAACAATAGCCCAAAGCAAAACCTGCTAGTAGCAGCAAAGGAAAAACAAGATGGCCAATCGCAGGCGCAGGAAACACTCGGGGATATCAAGCAAAACACACAGACAAGATATGTTCCAAAGACAAGAGGAGAGTTTTGTGTGCGATCCTGCGCAGCGGACAGCATCCCAATTTTTAGGGGATTGAGGAAAGGGTAAAAGAGAAGAGATTCGGGGAAGAATTTGAAACAGTAGAAGAATAGGTCGGGCCTAGAAGACCGCCGCAAGGCCATTCTTCGAATGACGTCGGCTGAATCGCTTCTTCCCTTTGACCGAGTCGGTGTCGGTCGGCTGATGCTTGACCAGGGTGGCCCGTCCCGTAGGTGCACTTTCTTGCTGAAGTTCTGAGCTCCGGTCCAGCGTGTTGGCATGGCTAGACAGTCCTGAGGACAGGTCACGGAAGGCGTCATCTGAATATGAACCGTTTCCTTGTTGCGCCAGAGCCATCTCCTTGGCTCGATCCAGGGTATCCAACCACTCCTGAGAGGACATGACGGTCGTTCCAACACTACCGGATGATGGTTTAGGATCTTCGAAAACATAGTGCTTATCGCGCTAGAATCTTCCGTTAGAAGGATAGTCTAGGTTCAAGGAGAGTTGTACATACCGTATCCACTACCCAACAGGAAACCCCCTTCGCGTCTGTTGAAGCCCGATATGTCGTGCCCGGATTGAGAAGGGACAGCTCCAACTTAGCCTTCTTCTCATCACCGCCAGCTGCTGCCATGATGATCCGGCCGGACGAAGTTACCATGACCAGACGCTGTCGCTTCTTAGTTGTGCTGCCGCCGAAGAACCGCGAAAACTTCCGGGGCGCTTCGTATTCGCCTCCGTTCTTGGATACCGGGCTGTGGGCTGCGGGCGAAGACAAGACGACCAGATTACCGAGTTTGAGAATCCGTTCGTTTGTCTTCGTCAGCACAGGCGACCATTCAATGTCTAGCTGACTCGGTGGGGGAAGCTCGGTCACCAGTCGAGGAACGACCCTTTGACTAGCGTTATTGCTCACAGATGCTGCGTTGATACTTGCGGGGTAGCCGTCGCCGTTGCCGCCGTTGTTAAGCTTGATGGGCTCGCGTGGGGGCGGAACGTACGCCTTGAGTCGGGGTGCCTTTCGCTTCCACAGATCCGGACCCCAGGTGATTCCCTGGAAGAACTCATGGTTCTTGATGTGTTCGATAGGCAACCGACGCGCCGGATCCAAGACCAACAGGCGCTCGACTAAATCGCGAGCGACCGCAGGGAAACCGGCAGGGAACTCATAATCAAGCGCGACGATCTTCTGGAAAGTTTGATATTCGTTCCCAGCCTTGAACGGAGGCCGACCAGCTAATAGCTGGAAGATAATACAGCCAAAGGCCCACAAATCACTGGCCTTACAAGCATTCTTATCGGTCAATAGCTCGGGGCTAACATATTCAGCCGTGCCCACAAATGAGCTGGCGCGTTCATCCTCGGACATATCGGCCGCATCGAGCGGAGGCATTCCGCTGGAGTTGGGTTGTGGCTTCCGTTGACTCTTGAGGATCTTAGCCGTTCCAAAGTCGGTGATTTTGATGTGCATTTGGCCGTCGAGCAGGACATTTTCCGGTTTCAAGTCTCGGTGAATGACGCCGCGTTTATGCATATAGTCGATTGTGTCGAGGATCTGGGCACCATAAAACCTCGTGCATTCTTCGTCAAAGGTTGTCATGCGCTTGAGTACTCCAAGCAACTCGCCTCCCTTGCAAAGGTCCAAGACGAAGTATAATGACCGTTCGTCCTGGAATGTATAGTACAGCCGGACAATGCCAGGGTGTTCTGTAAGTCGATTGAGGGTGTCCTTCTCGATGTTGACATATTTGACCTTCTTTTCCTTGATGATGTGCCGTTTGTCCAAGATCTTGATCGCATATTCCTTGAGCGTCTGGCGGTCTGTGCCTAGTACGACGGTACTGTAAGAGCCCTCTCCGAGCGTATGAGCGAACGAAAAATCGCGAACCCCCTTTTTGATATAACGCGCGACCGGTTTGCCATTAGCGTCGATTTCCTGCCGGACTGCCACGGCTGCACCGCGATCTTGCCAGTCTTCACTGCTCGAGCTGGGGCCGTTCTCCATGGTATACGGGGAGCCGGTCGATGGGCCACCGCCCCTGTGAGCTCGTGAGGACTGACGCATCACCATTGGCCCATTCCCAGGGGGCAATTGTGCCGTACGATATAACCGGTCATTGTGATTGCTATCGCGTACGGGAACTCCTGCCTGATAGGCCGCGGAGCCTCCACGAGATTCTGCTCGGGCAAGACTTTCCGAGGCGGAAGACGCGGCGGAATCGGTACGGATCCGATAGGAGCCTTCTCGAGCTGCCAGGGTGGATGTGGATCCGTTCGCGTAGAACGAGGAGAGCGGACGGGAGGAGGACTGGGGGCCCGGGTTGGGTTGCTGCTGGGACACATAAGGAGAGTATTGGGAGTTTGGTTGTGAGGGTTGTGAGGGTTGTTGTTGTTGAGGAGGTTCTGAGAATGGGCTGTAAATTGAGCTCCGACTCTCGAACGTCCGGGTAGAGGACTCGACCTGTACGGAGGCGAGGGCTTCTTGGACTTCGGAGCTCGAGGGAGGTGCCGGCGGTCGAGGGAGATGGGTAGAGGAGGCAGTTTCTGGTCGTTCGGAGGTTGTGGAATCGCGTACCAGGTCGGAATCTGCTACAGAAGCAGCGCCCGCGGCGGGTGTTGATGCATCTTCCGACGAATGTAACGAAGCATCATCGGGGTTGGCAATGCGTAGACCTCCCAAGGACTGGGAGAGACTGAGATCCCCATCCATGATTAAAGATAGGCGGTTTGAGATTCAAACCGACCTGTTGTAGAGGATGGGG